CTTTCTCGTTTTCTTGCCATTGTTGTAAGACGATGATGCGTTCTTTTGGAAGCTGCTCATTGCTGAAGGGCACGACGAGTCACTAATGGCATCATCATCTTCCTTCCCTAGTTGCTTCATCTTGCTGTTATTAACATTGTTGACTTGGATGATATTGGCCGAACTTAGACTGGGATTTTTTCTTCTGTAATGAGAGAAATAGGCTGCAGCGAATGCCAATAGAGCCGCAAGTAGGGTAGAAACGGCAATCGCGTAATAATGCGTAAGAAACTCGCTTTCCGAAGCAAACAAACTTTGGGCACCTTCTGTTAGAGAACTAACATCAGACGAGCTGTCTTGATCCAACAAAGCAGTATCAAAACCATGATTATTAATGCTGCCAAGATTGGATTTTTCGATTTCTATTGTTTCGGGAGGAATAACTTTGGTATTAGCCTCAGCCTCATTTTCTTGATCCGGTGAGATAATTGAAGCCAAATGATCTGCATGGACATAATGGACTATGACTCCAGGCATTTCATTCCCCCATGTATCGAGTTCCTCCTCAAGGTTCTCAATGGAATCATTGTTTTCTTTATAAGCTTCGATTTCCTCGTCAAAATTCTCAATTTCAGCATCCAACTCTTCGTACAACTCATCATTATCTTCACCATCATTCTCGGTGAAATTCTCGCCAACCTCAGTTTTACTTAAAAAATGTGAGCAATCCTCCCAAGAATCCATTTGCAGGTCAGAAGAAAGGTTCGTATATTTCAACGGGCCCAGTTGAGTTTCCTCTTTGCCAACTTCATCAGTCACCTTAGACATGAAATTTATAGAATAAACTGAGAGCTGCTGATTCACACGCCTTGCAACCTCATCGAAAATCACTTTCGCATTAGTAGCAGCAGCCGCAGCTTCAGCTCTCGACTGGTGGTAAAAACTGGCCAAATCGGAAAATCCCAAGTCTTTTTTAGTAAAACCAAACTTCCCGAACGAAGGATATTGTTGCGTGACAGATAACGACACACATGCAACGCCCATTAACAGCATCATCATACCAACCACAGAGAAGCACACTAATCTAGAGACCCTCCATGGTTTCTTTTTACCCTTCTCGACAAAATTCGATTTCTCGTTATGAATATCGTCAATTGCTTCCAGTTTTTCCTTCTCAGTGTCTTCTTCAGGAACTCGAATATCACCATTTACAACTTTTGGGAACTTCAAATCTACCAATTCTGATGAGGCAATTACCTCTAATTTCTCCTCCTCAGAATCTCTAGAATCACGAACGACATCATTGACTTCCGAGAAGAACTCTAATCCAATCACCATATCCTTCTCATAAGCTTCTGTTCCCTCAGAGTCTGATAAAGAATTTTCGGACAAGTTTTCGTCCGACATTAAGTTATCTTCTATCTGCTCAACCTCATCAAGACCACCCATTCCTTTTTCATTGTTCAAGAAAATTTCAACTCTGGGATTTGGTCTGTAGTAAAGAAACTGAGGCCTTGGGGATAAGAAATTGTTCTTCGGATCATAAGGGGGTACGGATGGATCAGCATCGAGCGGGGCTATTGGAATCGAGATGGGCGAGCAAAAAATGTTATTTTCCTTCGAAAAAGACTCAAAATCAGTTATCACTGAATCTGAAAGTGATTCTTGATGAACATCTGAAAATGTCACTTTTTTAGATGGCTTGGGAGCTTGAAGGGCTTCTTGAAAAGGCTCCATTTTTCCTGAATTTGCAGAATTCAAGTCCAAAGAAGCTGGGATGTTCTGCTTCATGTCAGATTTGGGCTCTAAATCTTCAGAAGCATTAGAGAAGAACATTGCTTTCCCGTCGGATAACGAGATTGAGGTTCGTAACGGGTCGTTTCTCTCGACTAAGGGCTTTTTTCTGGGCGATGGAGTGAACTTTGAAGCAGCAGAAATTGTTGGGGCCATGAAATGCTTGGAGCCCTTTGCTGAGGAATGGAGTTTTGTAGTCCTCAGGTTTTGGTCTTTTCCATTGTTCTCCTTTTCTTCACAATCTCTACCCACTGAACGTCGTCTAGAAAAATCTGCAACGTTACGACACGATTATGAATAAAAGTCAAAATTCACATAAGAAATTCGAAGAATCAAGGGCAGTAATCATGTTTAGAAAACAAAAAAACAAGAAATTATGAAAAACAGAGACATACACAGAATAAAGCCCTGCACAATTTACATCACACAAACATAATTAAAAATACAGTCTTTCTCGAAGAAGCTTGAACACCTTACAAATGCGGCAAGAACACAAAACATGGCCTTCATCACACAAAACATAACAGATCAAAATCTGCTCACAAAAATTTCACAAGAAAACGGCAAATTAAACATCATTACCAGAAAAATCAAGAAACCTTAAAAAGACAAACACACACACATGATAATTCATTCGAAAAAAATGAATCAAAATATGAACAAACACATCTGGAAGCTGTAGACTAACCTGATGGGCTACTCGCAGCAGGGGTCACTGGATCGAATCTTCTGGGATTTGTGAGAGCATAGGGTTTCAAGATATTGTTCCCATTAAAACTTTGTCTTGTTGCTGAGTACATTTCAGAGTTTCTTGGGTTTTGGTTAATGGGCCTCGATGAAAGTGGCGAAGGAGATCGGTTTGTA